TCTGGAGATTTACGGTTGGTTCATGAATCAAAATTTCGACGATACGCGGGCAACGGGTTAATCCCTTGGCCCCATCAAAATCCGCCATTAAAAATAAATCCAAGGCAATGCTGCGATCAAAATCTTTGAGCAGATCGTTCCAAATGAATAACTCATAGCCCGCGCGCCATTTCGTGGGCGACAGATACGACAGATCTTATGGATACAGTATATCTGTATTTGTGTTCTGGTTCGGGATCTGCTTGGAACGGAAGCGTTGACACTCGGACAATGACGAATGCCGCTCACCAAAAAGTCTCTTTTATAATACGTTTTGTTCTCAATTCTCGTGATAATTTTTTTGCATGTTCTTTTTTTATATTCTTTTTTTTATATTCAAATTTTTTCCTTATGCATTTTAGCATCTGCTTAATGAGTTTTTAAGCTTTTCGATTGTCTGTGTTCTCACATCAATTTTAAAAACAAAAAACGTGCAATTCTTATGGATTTTTGTTGTTGTTAATTTTTGGCTTGCATGGAAAAGTTTCATTTTAAATTAAGGAATTAAAATTGAAGAGTTTCTCAGGTTTCCTTCTCAGGTTGCCCCCCATCCCTAATGTGTTCGGAAAACTTCACACAATTTCTACTCAAACAATATTTATACACCGCAGCAATCATCATAATTCTCGACTAATCAAAACCTCTCTGGCGGACGGCGGCGGGGGGAACTAGATTTGTGGCATTCTTAAATATGCAGAGATTATGCTTGTGGATGCCTGCGTATCCAGCGGATACCTTTAGCATCGAATCGAATAAGAATTCCAAATAATAATTTATCAAACGGAATTTAACGATCGAACACATAAAAAAATTAATGTGCTGCGAGCTGCGAGAGGCGAGCGGCGGCAAAAGATGCGATAGAGCGAAGAAGGCCTTCTACGCGGAGAGATCTCTATGTCAAAGTGGCAGACGAAGTAGAAATATTAAATAAGAAAAAAAAAGGAAATGCCCAAATCAAATTATAGAATCGTAAAAGTATTTATTACCACCAGGGACCTCATCAGTGGGGGGCTCTCTCTCACCCCTCTCTCTCTCACTGTCTCTTTCAGGAGTGTTGGTGGCGACAGACAGGCAGAAGAGAACCGTCAGAAGCAATGGCCTTCCCTCTCTCTTTCTCTGTCTCTTTGCCTAGCCTCCTCTCTTTCTGTCAAGTGGGTTCCAAGTGATTTGATTATTATCGGTTAATTGGTAAATCGTAAAAACTTTTACGATTCATTCGCCCCTCGTCCGTGGAGCGCATTAAGTGGGACTAAGGCTGCGGCTGGCTCCGTTTTGGGAGCAACAAGTGCAGTCAGCAGGACTGCTGGACTCCTTCAGAACCAATAAAATGACACGGTACAAGCCGTTGAAGGAGCACACAGCACACACAAGATGGGTTGTCCACCATTTTTCACCCATCATCGATGTCGTCGCTCGATGGCATCCATTTTTATGGTTCTCCAGGCATTCGTCAAGCAGGGCAGGGCAGGGCATCATCCGATGATGGCTTTAAAGCAGGTATCCAGATAATGTTAGCTTTCAGGCAGCTCTCTTAATGGATCATAATTGTGTAATTATGTTAGGTATATGGGGGGATTTTGTGCTGACTGTAGAATAGGGGAATACCCGTGAGCATAAATTCAATTAGAATGGTCATTAGAAGAGACTAGTTCTTTTTTATGAAGCTTCAGAAGTTTTGGAAGTAATATTTACAGCAGAAAACTATTCATCCTTCAATCTATAAGAAAATGGTTACATAGCTTCGAATTTATTTGAGAAAAGCCCTTGCAAGGCCCATTTCTTGATTATCCCTTTTCACGAAACATATTTAAAGCATAATTTCGAGCACGAAATTCGTCATAAATCACATGAGAAACTTTTGAAAACAAAATTGTGCCCATAGAATCCATCTTGAACTCGTAAAAATGTAACATTTCACAGATTTTCCCACTCAAAAGAAAATTACACCCCATTCCAAAGTCCAAGTGCCGCTAATTTAATTGTTTTCTCCAGCCAAAAGCCGAAAAGGGAAAAACTTCTTCAAGTTTTTTTTTTTTCCATCCAAATGCAGCGACACACGCACCAAAAAAAAAACCCACCCCCAACCCCTGGGCTTTCATAACGGGATAGGCACCACCACCCCGTGAACGACGACGACGACGACGAAAGGGAGACAAAAGAAAAACTGCAGTGAGAGAAAAAAGACAAAACAAAGAGTGACATGTCAAGTGACTGCAGCAAGGGATGGGGGATGGGGGATGACAATCAGCAGAAGAAGATGCAGAAGGAGCCGCCGCCAGTCCTATCCGAGCAAAGAACGAACGACAGAGCGAGCGAGGCAAAGTGAGTGAGTGAGAGAGACAGAGAGAGAGAGAGAGTCACGCTTCAAATTGACGAGGACGAAAAGCTCAAAAGCAACAACTTGGAAGCTGCTCCCTAACGCGGCCCCCACTCACCCTCTCTCTCTCACATTCACTCTCCATCTCTTCCACTCGCTTCTATTACCACTATTTATTTAGCTGTTTTACATTGTCATTCCCTCTGCACACCCACACACAGAGAAGCACCCGCGCATTGCAAAAATAAGCAGAAGAAGAAGACGAAACGAATGTCAGACAGAGAGACAAAATGTCGAAAGCGCGACAGCTGTAGCAGCAGCAGAAGCAGAGGGCAGCGACGTCGCAGCAACAAATTAGAACGAGAGACACCTACACACACTCATACATATATACCGCCACTCGTCTATGTACTGTACAACTGTAAATGTGTGGGAGCTGGAACGGGGGGGCGGAGTGGGGGTGGGGAGTGGGAGGTGTGAGCAGGCCAGCGCATGCGAGCGAGAAAATTTGTTTTGAACTGTCATAAATCTTAATTGCGGCGGAGTGATGGAATCGGAATCGTAGGAGTATAGGGCATACGAAAGGGTGATACGAAAGAGCGGGAAGGCTGACGAAAGGCGGCAAAACAGATTTCACACGAACAAACACCCACACACAGAGAGACAGACAGCCACTCTCTCTCTGAGAGAGGCTGTTATTTCCCCTGCGTTCCATTCCCATTCATTCGTAAAGATTTATCACCATTCCAATTGGTGCGAAGGGGAAACTGATATTGCTGGTGCGCATGATCGCGCTGGCATGTGCTCTCTGTCTCTCAGCCAACTGCTGGCTCTCTCTCTCTCTCTCCATCCATCTCTCTCTATCGCAAAAGAGAGAGCGAACATCAAGCGGGCGGCTTTTGTAGTTGTTCTTCAGTCCACAACGGACCGTTACAGCGTGATCATGTTTGAAAAGCTTTGCGGCGCGTAAGCTCTCACGAAACGAAAAAGTGGCCGAAAAGTACGTAAAAAAGGGTAAACGCCACTGTTACGTCGCTGCCTGCCTGCCTGGCATCACACAGTAAACAGTAATTAATTAGCAGAGAGAGTGAGCCCAGAGCAGCGCTGCTACTGTGCGCGAGCGAGACAGGCGCACAATTTAATCACGTCTCACGTCAGTTGTCGGCTTTCAGTGGGTGGGTGGAGAGTGGAAACGGAACAACGGTAACAAAAAGAAAAAGCAGCAAAAGTAATCAACACGCAGCGCTGTCGACACACACACACACAGTCATACTGCGCCGACTGCGTTGCGCCGTCGCTTAACGCAAATCGAATCAAAATTGCCGTCGCCAAAACGCGGGCTTCGTGTTAACGAACGTTTGTCGTCTCTCGTCAAAAAACAACAAAAACAAAAAACAAAGTAAGCAGCAAGCAGAGCAGCAGCAGCCAACAGCCCCAGCATCCAAGCAGCAGCTCCAAAAGCAGAAGCACAGCAGCAGCAACAGCAACAGTCCGCGCAGCAGACAAAAACGAAACGTGCGCGTCGCTGCCGTCGCGCTTTGAACTTCATTTTTTTGGTATCAATCAGCGGGCAGAACGCGGGGGGGAGAGACAGAGAGAACGCAACCGACGACGCGAGCGACGCGACGCGTCTGATTCTTGACTGAATCAGAGTGACAGCCCCCACCCCTCCCACTCAATCCGAGCAACAACAACGAGCAGCCACACAGCAGAGGGCCCATCAGCAGCGCAGCGCAGTAGCAGAGCCGAAGAAGCGCGACGGCAAGGCAGAGCAGTGGCAGGCCAACAGCAGAAGCGGCAGCAGAATTCATTCGAATTCGGACTCTCAAACGAGTAACGACGAGGAATCCGTAACTCGGAACACACTCATACACGCACACACCTACATACATCTCGTATACGTACACGCGACGCGCGACGCGTGTTCCCAAGAAAATAATATAACAGTAATATTACAACAGAGAAAGGCGAGAGAAATAAAGGAGAGAAGAAATGAATTTTGAATATTGAATTTTGAATTTTGAACGCCATTCAAGCCACAAGAAATATTCAAAAATGCAAGTGTGATACGCAACGTAATAATAATTAAGAGTATTTTTGAAAGAAAGCCGAGTCCTACCATCATATCTAGTCAAAAAATAAATTGAGTTGAAAAGTTCATCAAACATGAAATGCGCTTCAAATGTTTGATCAAGACTGAAACAACAACAACAAGAAACACAACAACAACAGCAACAACAAAATTATTAAACAAAAACAAAAACTACAACAAATGGTTCAACAAAGTATACGTAAAAAAAAGAACAGACAACAAAAACAACTACAACAAATTATTATAGCCCACAAATATATTTATTAAACTAAAACTTAAAAACTAAATAAAAACTACAAAAATATATTATATAAATTATATTTAACAATATTTTGCTCACAACAAAATTCAAACAAACAAATAATGTAAAAATCAACAAACAACACAAAAAACCCTTAACGAAGTATACGATTCAATGCAATTATTAAATTAAATTTAAAAACAAAAATATTTAAATCTAAATTTTTGTCTGCCATACGATATATAAAATACAAAAAAATATAATATATATATATATATATATCGGAAAATCCAACAAAGTTATACGCTACAACAAAACAAATTCTATACGAAAAAAACGTACCAAGTGCAAAATAAAAAAAACCAAAACAAAACAAAAATTTATGAATATTGTGTCAAATTAAGAAAATAAGTTCTCTATCAAAATCGTCAAAATTCAACAAAATCTCAACATGTTGCACGAGGCATTGATGCTCGAGATCTACAGACAGGCGCTAAATGCCGGGTAAGTGTTTGGATTTAGTTACGTTGGGTTATGTTAGGAAGATAATATCTGAGAGGTTTTGGATAGTTATAGAATATATGTTTGATGGAGATTGTTTATATGTGGTTGGGAAGAGTAGGAATAATTAGTTAGTTAATTAGTTAAGATTTAGCTTACATTTCATACATAAAACCATAGGGAAAGACTTCAAATAGAGAGTTGAAGGAAGAAAAATATTTAGTGGAAAACCATTTAGTGGAGAACTGGAAAAAACTATGTGTAGATTTCTGTTTACGATTGTAGCTCTGAAAATATGGGATGACTTCTTTCTATTGAAGTTCCAGTCCATCGGTTTCAAACTGAATTAAAGAATATGTATTAAGAAAATTGGAAATAGTTATTAAAATAATTAAAGTTATATTTTTTTATTTTGAGGAACTACAGTTTATATTAGCACCATGTTAGAAGTACTCAAGTATTTCCACTACAATGTTTTCCATATATTAAACGAACTTCAAGCTTTAAGAACTAGCATTCTGATAGATAGATATTTGATATGTTGAGTTATCTGCATAGATCTGTTCTCTCCTCCTTTGATTTTGCTACATTTCCATAGATAGATTCCCCTTGTGATTCCCCCCACAAAATGTTATAATTTAATGGCCGCACTCTTCCACCATCTATCAAATCCACAAATATAGAACCAAAACTGTCGCCTAACCATATGAACGTTTTTAATCAAAAGAGCGAGCGACCTTCTCTTTCATTTCGCCTCGTCATCAGTAGGGGCTAGAATTCTGATTTTTTGATAGTCAATGGCCCATTAAAATATTACTTTAGGATGTGGTGGGGCACAAATAAATATACAGAGAAACCAAGAAATGATTATTTCATCAAAAGAGTTCCATAGCACATTGATGATTGGCGTCCTCGTCGTCGCCGTCGTCGTCGACTGCGTCGCACACCTGTCGTTATAAATTCAGCCCCACGCCAATATTTGAGGCACACCATATATCAGGGGCACATATCACATACACCCACCCACCCCCGCGCACATCGTGAGCAACAGTTCTGTTTTCGAAAAAGTATTGATTTATACTAATAGAAATCCCGAACCCCAGAAACCCCCAGAACGCCCGAAAGAACAATAACGTTTATCAAGTTGTAAAATACGCAAAAAACTTGATTTGTAATCGCTGCAGTAATACGAATGGTGTTGGGCGGGGGGTTTGGGGCTAAAAATTAAACACAAAAATTGTGCTATAGATTCCGAAAATGATCTATCTTTTGGGTGGCTATTAATTCGCTGCTGCTGTGTGTGTGTGTGTGTGTGTGTGTGTATCTACAAATTATGATTAAACAAGTTTCGAGATACATCTGAAAACGGGTTTTCCAGGGGGAATGGATGGCTCTGTGTGTGTGTGAGTGTTGCATCTGTGGCATTACTAATAAAGTGCGACAAATTGTCTCGTTTTGCTGTGTGCCGACTGTGAGATATACGAATTTGCAATATTATATTTTTTGCCCCCCAGTTTTTCATCTACTTTGTAGATGGGATGGCGATGGGTTGGTTGGATAGAAAATGTGTTCAAGATTTTACCAAGGCGATGACGTACCAGAAAATTTTTGAATAAATCATGCACAAAAGTGAAGAAAAACTCACGGATACGCTCTGGTTGCCATCTCCCTCAATTGGGTGGGTGCCTGTATCTGTATCTTTGCCACTTTTCCACTTTGCCCTCCCCTACCTACCTACCGCTCTCTATATCTGACTTTGTATCTGTAGCTTTGTGTGTGTCTGTCTGCCTATTACCGGGAAGATTTATGTTCACAATTTGCCGCTGATTTGTGCGTGGTATATGAGTGTGTGTGTGTGTGTATCTGCAGCTGTGTGTAGTAATATTCACTTTTGTTACCTTTAACGGATTAGTCATGTTTTAGTTTTTTCCATTTAAACAGTGCACTACAGTGCATTGCATAAGTGTAGGGATGTGCATATAAATTAGGGATATCTGCCCATCATAAAACTATACCCTTAAAGCATTTATATATCTCAAATAAAATATTCAGAATTAGAGATCTTTGAAGTCTTTAATATTATTTGAATTAAAATATAATAAAAGTGTTTTACTTTAGAGCTTGAAATCTCTTAAACATTAAACTTGTAATCAATCAATTACTTATCGTATTAAAATCATTAGTAATGTTATCGCAGCACTAAATAATGCATTAAACAAACAATTCTTATAATTTTCCACAAATCAAACCTGCAAAAAGGTCAGTTATCATCTCTGAAAAAAAATGCAATGTACTTCTCATATATGGAGACATACTTGCTCTACGCACTGTAACCCATTGCTTGCACCTGAAACGCTTGCCATAGATGCAACCATGTAACTCTCTCTCACACTCGATTATTAATGAGACAATTCCGACCTGTAATTAACTGCACTCGCGGGAGAAGTTGCGTATAAATCATTTGTGATTTAAGCTTAATCGAATAACGAGATTTCCGATTATGATATGCTATTGCTATGAGGAAAACTTGTTGCCAAGAAAACAAAACAAGGCAAAAACAACAGCCAAGCTGTGCCGCTATGACTATGGCTATAATATGATTTTGTATGCGGGCTTAATCGCTGAATGCAATCTGGATGGATGGCTAATTAGCTGTGAGCGATCGGTGTGTAATAAGTATCTGTATCTATGATGTGCTGTCATAAACGACTGCCTTTAAAGCCAAGCACGTACGAACAGGTGCACCCCTATCCATGAATCATCTGCCTTTGGGACAGTAGTAGACAGTACCTTTAAGACCGCAACCCATCAATATTGTCTATAGTCTGAATCTCCCCGTGTGCGGTTTTCTGTGTGTGGTGTGTGTGTACTATCCATCAATTAGGGAACTTTTGACAAACATTTTGTTGTTTTATTCGAACAACTTAATTCCCGTTAAAGAAGCTTTTTTTGAGCGATCGCTTCTTAGACAATAGAACACACATGACAAATTGTTGACAACACCCTCAAGACACATATATTTATATATATCTATTTTTTTTTTTAATAATAATATTTTTTTCATTCAAATCAAGTCACATTAACGCCGCTTTTGTTCAGTGATTTCCGCCATGAAAGAGTCGTAAAAATCAGCCAACACACCAACACAAACAGCAGACGCCCACACACACACACACACACACACACACACACACACACACACACAGATATTATATATGTAAAGACAAATATAGTGCCTAATCATCAAAGAATTTATAAGCATTTTGCATATACTTCAAAGTCAATCAAGGCAATCATTCAAAGATATTCACAAAATTATGTTTTTTTTTTCTTTTTTTTTTCTTTTTCAAACACAATCGTAAAATAGCAAAAATTAAATATGTGTTACCATTTTCGATTGTAAAAATACTAGGAAATCAAATTCCATAGGTTTTTCCTGCTCGTTTTTTTTTTTTTTTTGAGTTGCCATAAAAATTTTGTGGCCAATTAATTTATGCAAACTGTTATGCGGAATGTGTGAGCCAGCCCCAAGCAAGCAGATGATAATAATTGCCGCAGATTTCAGATCTCAGATGCTTATGATTATGATCATCTCCCGGGTCGGTCTTTGGTCTCTGTCTCAGTCTCTGTCTCTGCTCATAACTCACGCCTTAAATCTCGAATTAAACGCCATTGTTCCAATATAGACTTTTACGACCGCATAGAGCACCGTAAGAGCACAGCGCTGCAGTGAGAAGGAGTGTGAGTAGTGAGGGGGGACGTTTTGAGGGAGTGGAATGTATATCAGAGAGGGACAGACAGGCAGGCAAGGCAGAGGTGGAACGTATAGGGGCGACAGATGGACAGTGGAACGTGTCTTGGGTTTGGGAGAGAGGGGACAAACGGATAGTGGAACAAAAAGTGGCGTAAGTAAGGCAGCAATGGAGGCACGTCCCAGGGAAGTGGAACGTATAGCAGCAGGGGAGACAGATGGACAGTGGAACCTAAAACTATAGAGCTACGGACGGGCAGTGGAACGTAATGAAGCACACAGCTGTGATCCAAAGCGACAAACAGACACAGTTTCATTTTTCATTATTTTTTTCTTTTTTTTTTTGGTTTTTTTTTTTTTTTTTTTTTTTTTCGTTTTGGTTTATGGCGCCTTTTGAGATTTGAATAACAAATCGAAATGTTGACATATGTTTGGCATTGTTACCATTGTTTTTGTTGTTGTTGTTAGTTGTTCCTGCGGTTCGTTTTCGGTGGCTTATGATTTAGCGCAGAATATAAACATATTTGGAGCGGGGTGGGGGAAGGGGCGGATGGGGCTATAAAACAGATTTCCAATATTTATGCTCTTGATTGCTTATCCAATTTATAGAGGGTTTTTTTTTTGGCTTGTGAAAGTCGCTTGATGGCAAAGTGGAGAAAGCTTCAATCAGTTTTTTGTGTGGATTGATTGATTAATGATTAAATGTTAATGATAAAATGAAGCAGATCTTTGGGGATATAAAGCAAAGGTATCAGGGATAATGGATAACATAAAGATTGTTTTTCACTCACCCAAATTACATCAGAGATTGTTTTAGTCAGCCTGAAAATAGTTTTAATAAATAAAACGATGATTAGAACTCTTTAAAACACTCTCGAAGAATCCTTAAGGGACCAAGATTATATTTAAATTATTCGTAATAAATAAATAATGAATAAATAAAATAATAAATAAATTCTCCCTTTTATTTGCCTTTGCAGCGCCCTGCCCACAGCTCGTCCCCGTTCCACGGAATCGGCAAATTCCAGCGAGCGTTGTCCCTCGCACGAATCCAATTCCTCGGACAATGGGGGACAGCGCGGCGATCCCAGTGGGGCCGGCATGCCGCCCACATCCATGCACTCGACATTCCCGGCCGTGCCGCAGAATCTGCCCGCCCAGCCGCCCTCCATGGAGGCGTATCTGCATATGGTGGCAGCAGCCGCACAGCAGTATGGCTTCCCCCTGGCCGCAGCAGCGGCAGCTGGACCACGGCTACCCCTGCCGCTGCCCAATGAGGCGGCGGCACCGTTCAAGCTGCCACCGCAAGCCTCGCCCACGGCCTCCAGCAATCACTCGGAGGCGCTGGACTTTCGCACGAATCTATATGGGCGCGCGGAATCGGCAGAGCCGCCAGCCTCCGAGGAGGAGGAGGATTTCGATGATGGGGCCAACAATCCGTTGGATCTGTCGGTGGGTACACGGAAGCGCGGCCACGACGCCGAGCCGCAGCTGGGGCACATACAAGTGAAGAAAATGTTCAAGTCGGAGAGTCCACCGGCGAATGCATCGCCTGCGCCGGCGCCACCCACTGCCAGCCAATTGATGCCGGGCGTCAATCCCTATCTGGCGGCTGTGGCGGCTGCCAATATCTTTCGCACCGGACAGTTTCCCGATTGGAATGGCAAAAATGATCTCGTGGTGGATCCCCTCGAAAAGATGTCGGACATTGTGAGGGGCGGAGCACAGGGACACAAGGAGAAGCAGCAGCATCATCATCATCATCATCAGCAGCAACAGCAACAGCATCAATCGAAGGCCACACCGCCCGCCCAGGCAGCACCGCCAAAGAGTCCCGCACAGCAGCAGCAACAGCAACAGCAGCAGGGATCCAAACAATAGCCATAATTCCGAGGGAGGATCAAGTTCGGGTGGTGGAGCTGCTGCAGGTGGTGGAGCTAACACGGCCACGGCTGGCGTGACCAAGGCACGCCACAACATCTGGCAATCGCATTGGCAGAACAAGGGCGTGGCCAGCTCTGTGTTCCGGTGTGTGTGGTGCAAGCAGAGCTTCCCCACACTGGAGGCCCTCACCACCCACATGAAGGACAGCAAACACTGCGGCGTGAATGTGCCACCGTTTGGTAATCTGCCCAGCAACAATCCACAGCAGCATCACCAGCACCAGCAGCACCAACAGCAGCAGCAGCATCACCATCAGGCAGCACAGCAGCCACAGCAGCAGAACCATCAGAATATGCGCAAGCAGGCCAATGCGAATCACTCGCCCTCGGCGAATGTCAAAAATGCATTTCAGTATCGCGGTGATCCACCGACACCGCTGCCCCGTAAGCTGGTGCGCGGCCAGAATGTGTGGCTGGGGAAGGGCGTGGAGCAGGCCATGCAGATCCTCAAGTGCATGCGGTGCGGCGAGAGCTTCCGTTCGCTGGGCGAGATGACCAAGCACATGCAGGAGACGCAGCACTACACGAACATCCTGTCGCAGGAGCAGAGCATCTCCATCAAGTCACAGAATCAGGCCAATGCCAATTCGGACTCGAAGGACAATCACAACAACAGCCTCAGCTCCGAGGAGAGTCGCACCCTCAGCGCCGTGCTCACGTGCAAGGTGTGCGACAAGGCCTTCAATAGTCTGGGCGATCTCAGCAATCACATGGCCAAAAATAATCACTATGCCGAGCCGCTGCTGCAGAATGCGGGCGCACGCAAGCGGCCGGCGCCCAAGAAGCGCGAGAAATCGCTGCCCGTGCGGAAACTGCTAGAAATGAAGGGAGGCGGCGGCGGCGGCGGCGGTGGCGGTGCAGGAGCCAGCCAGGATGATTTGGCAGCGGAAAAGTCGGCAGTGCAGGGCAAACCCGGCCTGGGACCCGGCGGTGGCGACAAGAACGATGCGGCACTCTTTGCCGAACGCATGCGGCAGTACATAACGGGCGTGAAGTCTCCGGAGGAGATTGCCAAGGTGGCTGCCGCACAGCTGTTGGCCAAAAACAAATCGCCGGAGCTGCTGGAGCAAAAGAATGGCAACGCCAAGCCGGGCAATTCGTCGGTGTTGAGTGCCATCGAGCAGATGTTTACCACCAGCTTTGATACACCGCCGCGGCATGCCAGCCTGCCGGCGAGCAGTCCCTCCAATTCATCGACCAAGAACACCTCCCCAGTGGCCAGCAGCATACTGAAGCGTCTCGGCATCGATGAGACTGTGGACTACAATAAGCCATTGATTGACACCAATGATCCGTACTATCAGCATTATCGGTATACGAGCAGCGAGCGCAGTGGCAGCGAATGCAGCGCAGAGGCGGCGGCGGCTGCGGCAAGGCCACGTTTGGATGCACCAACGCCCGAGAAGCAGCAACAGCAGCAGCCGCTGCCGCTGATGACTGGAGTCGCCTCCAACACAGAGGAGTCTGCTGCGGCTGCGGCTGCTGCTGCTGCTGTTAGGCCCATCAAGCAGGAGGATCCTGCCATCAAAATGGAGATCAAGTCTGAGATCAGCGATGAGCAGAACGATGACGCGGCCATGCCATCGCCCAAAATGGAGTCAACGCTGGTCAATGGCAGCTACTCCACCACCACCAATGCCTCCTCGGCCAACAACAATAATAACAACAACAACAACAATGTGGAGCGTGCCTCACCCAAGACCCCCTCGGTGGCTGGCAGTCCACAGTCGACGCGGCTGCTGCCGCCGCGCAGTCCAGCGGATAGCCAACGTTCGGCCACACCCAAGTCGCCAGCCTCCAGTCACAAGTCCTACGATGGCAGCGAGGGCAACAACAAAAAGTATCCCAGCGACTCGCTGAATGCCCTCTCCTCGATGTTTGACTCGTTGGGCGCCAGTGGCGGTGGCGGGGGAGCGGCTGCCAATACGAGAGCCAAGCTGGCCGCTGCAGCGGCAGCTGTCGCCGGTGGCGTGCTGCCGCCCGTGGCTGGTGGTGGTGGCAGCGAATCACCGGAAAATCTAAGCGCCAGCAATTCGCTGGCGGCACTGCGACAGTTCTGCGTGAAGAAGGAGAAGACCGCCTAAGAGCTGGAGCTTCTCGGCCGCAAACCGGACCGTTCCGTCAAACGCTCTCGTTAGCCTCGTTTTTTCGTTGTTTTTGCGCAAACAAAAAGCATTTTCAAACAAATTTTTTTGGGGTTTGCCTGCGCGTTGCCCACACGCCACCACCCACACCCCGCACTCCGCATCAAACTGCCACAAGCAGCCCCCCGGAAAAATTCCCATGCACCTTTTTTGGGGTGGCGGCGGCGGTGTGGGGTGGGCGGACACTGCGGCAACCATTCAGAGAGAAGAGAAGAGAGAGATTCCAGAGTCAAAAGTACTGCCACTTGGACGACACTTTGACGACAGATAGAAGAAGACACCACCGAGATATGGAAAGATATATGTTCGGTATCATTGAAACGATTATAATGAAAATACTGATTGAGGAGGAGAAGGAGAACTCAATCCAGATGCCAGGCGGCAGTTGGGGATTGTATCCTGCCGCGCGTACTACTCCTACGCCATGGCGACGACCCACCCGCGCGTTCAGCAAGCCTTAAGGCCTACTTTTTCAAGGTAATTATTCAAGAATTAAAAAGACTTAACCAATAGCAAAGATTATAGAGCAAAAATGAAAGAGAAACAAGAGAGAATGGAACAGAATGAGAGCATCAGCTGTTGTGACAAAGGGGAACGTTCTAGAATGGAAAAAAAGTGTAACGAAGCAATGTTTAATGAGGCGAATGAGCGCATAACCTGTTATGGGTAATGGAAACATGTGAGAATAGAACAAAGTATTGTTCGTAATGATGAGAATGAGAGCATAAGCTGTTGTAGGAATAAGTGATAATAGAACAAAGTTTAAGCAAGAGAATGAGAACATCAGCTGTTGTGACAAAGGGGAACGTTCTAGAATGGAAAAAAGTGTAACGAAGCAATTTTTAATGAAGCGAATGAGCGCGTAAGCTGTTCCGCCTCACATTTGTGTTCTATAATCTTTGATATAGTGTAACCTATAGATGATATATAATCTATAATTATTTATTTTTCCCATGAAAACCCTCAACTAAAACTCCTTTTCTCTTTTCTTCATTGCAGAATATATAAAACTTGGGATCCTTGAAAAACTATGGCTTGGCATGGCTGATCTACTGGTGGGGTTTTTTTTGTTGTTGTTAGAAAAAAAAACCACACAAACCAAGCCCTTGTCAGGGCTGCCACATCTCTCTGCAAAGAGTTATGAAATTTGAAAAAAGAAAAAGAAAACATTGTGATCCAATAAACAAAACAAAAAATGAAATGAAAAACGTTTTTATGAACATTACAACAAAGCGAATTATTTATTTACTCAAAGCTGGAAGGGAGGGCTGGTCTGGTACTGGATCTATGTTTCAGGTGGCAGGGAATGATGATGCTTCAACGCTTCTTCTTGTTTTGTTTCGTTGTGCAACTGTGGCAGATCTTCTTGGCTGTGGTCTTCTCGGGTGTGGGTGGTGCGGGTTGCTTGGCCGAAAGCAGAGATGTGAGCATATCGCTGAGATCCGGCATATTGTTGGGCACCTTGGGAAATTGCATATTTTCCAGTTCGCGCTTCGTTTGGGGATCGCGTATGATGCGTGGCACAATCATGAGCATCAGGACGGGCGCCAGCATAATCAGGATCATGGGATTCAGGACAAAGTCAACGAAACGCCACTGTTCACGTTCCGTAAAGAATTTGCGACGCTTCACTGGCGGCAGTCGCAGTGGATAGGCAATCTGTGAAATGGCTCCCGGCATCACATAGCTCACCGCCCGAGCCCTGTACTTGCCCTTCGCATTGATCTCGACGCGCACGGGACGGAAGTAGATATCCGGATGGTAGACCTCCACCACATAGCTGCCATAGGGCACTCCGCTGATCCGAAATCGGCCATCGATGCGCACGAATCCCTTGTACTCGCCGCCATTGATGGCCAGCGTGATGTCCGCCAGCCAGCGGTTGGTCAGGCCCAAGTTACGATTCGGTGGCAAAATGTAACCCTCAATGGTGTACAGCGGCGTGGCAGTGGCAACATCCTTGTTAGCTGCCACCACATCAGCACAAACGAACGCCAAATAATAGCAGCTCAACACAAACAGAATAATTTTAAACATCTTGCAAGGCGTTTCAAAAGTTTACTTTTTATAGCGAAAATTAAAAAAAGTTTCCGTGGGTGGCAAAAACAGTTGCAAATTTCTAATTCGAATTGTGGAAAATATTAATTTTTGTTTTGAGGGGGAACCTTTCGTTACGATAACAACGAAATCAATGAGATTATTCAAAGGGAAATTGTACATTTAAATCTATGAATATTTGATGGAATTTTTGGTGAACTTTATTTAAATTTTTAGATGCTTTCAGCTGCGAGCAGTTTTGATGTTAAATCTATCTAAAGGCAAGTTTTGGTTACCAATGGAGTGATATAGCCATCAAAACTCTACCTATTAAGTGATTTATCTATACAAAAATATATTAAATATATTAAAAAATCGATTCATGGAGTCATCTAGCCATAGATCGCAGCGCACTAAGCTTTAGAAATCTCTGTATGGTTTCCAGTACCAGCAAATCATCTCTTCCATTTTTTGTTTAATATTTTGTATGCATATTTCTATTCAAACATTTTCCCCTTAAGCGTCTTCCTTCATCCAAAAACCCTTTCAAAAACTTCAAAAACTCTTCTCTAAAGCTACAAAACACCGACGGCAAAGCCACATTTTCCACAGTAGCCAAGCCACATCGATTGCCACTCTATACGATCATTCGCATTTTATAACGCAACAATTGTTGCATCCCCCAGACCATAAGGAGTGACTCACTGAAGCCCTACTCCTCTGTTGCTGCTGCAGCAGACTTCTCTTCTATGGGAAGAGTCGTGACCAAAGCGACTTTTGTTCAACCATCAGACACTGCCGCACACAGCACACAGCACACACATCCCAACCCTCGTATGTGGCAGAGAGACATTGTATGGAATGTATGCTGTTTGGGGTCTATGAAAGGAGAGGCCAGCCAGCCAGGCAGGGCAGGCATGAAGTAGCTGCCACAAATTTGCACTTTTTGATGAACGTTTTGTGGCTTCTGCTTCTGTGTCGCGGGAATCACGGCACCCCGAAACGATGCAGCAGGCGATGGTAATTTTTTTTTTAGCAAGTAGCTAGATGCTCGTATGATCCTCTCAACAAGTGTTCAAACAACGGTAACTGGGGGCATGCGCAAACAATTTTCCAATATAATTTGACTGGGAGTCTGCACGGTGTCGTCATTATGGCAATGTTCGTGTTCATCGTTTGATTTAGCGCCAGCCAGCCAGCCAGCCAGCCAGCATCGCCTCGCATTGAGGAGCGTCTTGAGCAGTTGTTTGTATTTAAATTTCCCCCCGTAACGAAGAGCCGCTCCAGCCGATCTCAAACGTCGTGGCTTCTTGCCATTAAACAGAGTTGTTGCATCTGCAGATAGTTTTATATATTTTTTGTTTGTAGCTCCACTCAATTGACAGCAGCAGCGCATGCGCAGGCGCATGGTGAAGCTTCTGTGTCTACGACTAGATGTAGATTAAGTTGCTAGGAATCGTTGAATGGTAAAGAATTGCCCATGATTAAAGCTGCAAAATGTGTGCAAAATCAAGTGGAATAAATGAATGAATGGCACAATAAATGGAGATCGATATGGTGGATCAATCAATGCGAGATGTAGAAATGCAGGAAGTCTATGGAGAAAATTGGGAGAGGAGACGAATGTGGCACAAGTGAATGTGGCAAAAGAGAATGCTCGAGAATAGTAAATAAAAACCACATACATGACGTGTGCATGACACTAAAAAATTGAAAATAACTCTTAAAAAGTAAGTTATGGCGTTGAATGTGCCCTGGAATATAACTTAGACAGCAAGTAAAGTTTTAGATCCATAGAACCTGAAGATTTTCAGCTAATTCCTAGCTTTAGGCTACATTCCATATTCCCTTGCACCCATAATATATCTCTTTAAAGCTCTTTTTCTCTATAAAACTAACCTGATCCAACACACAACAAAGTTCTATAGCTTATCACAGCGTAGAGCAGACATCTTCTATAAAAGTTCTCTATAAATAATACCAAATCTAATCTGGAAAAAAAAAGAAAACCAGGGTACGAGGGTACCAGGCAAAAAGATCAAACGCATTGAGTAAATCAATCAAACCAGCAATTGATAGCTAATGACTGATTTATGAATATAAAAGAGTCGTTCATGTTCCAATCGTAAATCCAAACAAAAGCAGAACAAACATCAACCAACGAGTAGGAAGAGAGAGCACCAGTACCAATGGGGGGATAAGCCCTATCGCCATAAGGCCTGGTGGGTATTACTCATCGTTTTTTTTCCATGGTAAAACAATTTGAACAATTGCAAGATAATCGTTTAATGACTGATAAGGCAACACAGAGATTTACTATATATATATAGATGATGGTCGGTCGTCTGATGGCTATCGGTTTTATCGCAGCAGAACCAGAACACTATCTGCCATAAATCAATGCACATAAGACCCCCAACTCAATGCATTCTCTTGAAGACCCTTCATAACTGATTTGCTAGGAATTGTTTTCTTTATTTTTGTTTTGTTTTTGTTTTTGTTTTTTGCGGAACAGTAGAGGTCATAAATTTCACGAAAACCTTTTTGATTTTATGCGGAAAAAATAAAAACAGGGAGAGAGAAACTTTTAAATATTCATGCGTGATATTTGTCGCAGCGACAGGGATCGGAATCGAATCGGATCGGATCGGATCGGTTTCAGCGACGAATTCAACGATCGATTGTTTCTTTTAACCAAAAAAAAAAAAAAAAACGAAAGAAAAACAACCAAAACCCAATGTCAGTCTCAGGCAAAACAATTGTTTAGGAAGAACACAACACAATGGGTCATTTAGGAGTGGTCTGTGGCTCGATCCCCATCCACTGTGACATGGCCCAACAAGTATTGCACGATCCTTTGGGGCTGATGTTGCTGTCCTGCTGGAATGGGTATCCTTCTGCTGTTGCTGCTGTTGCTGCTGCTGCCTGAGTGATTTATTTAGTTTGTGTCAATTCCTGAAATTATTGGCCCCCAAATGCAAAAATCGTTCTCAATGTTCGCGTTCTGGTTTCAGCCTGGGTTTTTCGTGATGACATCTCCCCTGCATATCTTAACACATTTTGAGATTCCCCTGAAGGCTCAGATCTCAGTTCTGGTGAAGATCCATGGAAGGAATCCCTGTTTTGTTTTTTTTTTTTTGGGTAAGGTTGAGATGTTCTCTACTGAGTCATGATGCATGATCTTTGGGAATTTGATTATGGAGAGGAAATAATTAGAATTTTTAGATGAACTTTCAATCAGTTCTCAAAGTCACGCGTCTTGCAGCAGCGCCCCACGGTCATTGCTTACTCTTCTCTGGCATACCTTTTTTCTCACACCAAAAAATTCTTGAACCAATCTTAAAGACATATTCTAATAAGCTTAGAAATAACTTTTAATTAAAGGAATTGCTGCTGGAAATACTTGAGCCAGTTCCAGATATGGTCTTGTGGCAGCATTGACGATGATGAGGCAGGCACAGGCAGGCAGGCCAGGCTGGCATTCAGGCAGCCAGACGACCACAAGATGGAAGTGGCAGTGGAATGGCATTGGCATTGGAGGCTGGGGCTGGGGCTGGGGCAGGCACATTTAAAACAAGTTCAAGATGCAAACAATGGATCATTATCCAGATACAAAAAAACTAAAACAAAAAGAGAGAAGAGACGAGAAGAGAAGAGTCGAGCAGAGACGAGAAGAGAAGAACGAACGCAGGCAGAGCCAAGAAGAGCGAAGAAACAGATACAATCGAGCGCAATCGCCACGGCATTCCCATAGGTTACACCGCAACCAAGAAGAGATGCCACAAGCAGTGTCCAAGGGGCCAGCAAGAGGGGGGCAGAGAGACACAGAGAGCGAGCAGGACAGCAAGCGATAGGTGCAACAGAGAGGCAAAGACGCTTTTCGATGGCGATGGCTCTTGTTGTTTATTGATTACACGCTTTTTGGGGAATGCTGCAATGCATTGGGGCACCCATACAGAGAGAGAGAGAGAGAGAGAGAGGCAGAGAGACAAAGCGAGAGAGAGCGAGAACCGCGCGACTCTTGGCCATAATGGTGCGGATGCCAGCGGCTGCAACATGCGCCTGTCATGCGATCGCCGCCAAGAACATAACATCCATTACACAGCGATCGACTCGACTCGACTCGACCACAAGACTACGACGACGACTACGACGACGACGACGACGATGTGGATGAGGTTGAGGACGTGGTCGACGACGCTTACGATTGTGAATGCGATTTGGTGGTAGATCCACAGTCCATTGGGCGCAGTGCAGGGCAGGGCATGGTAGGAGATACAAAGCGAAAAAGAGGCGGCTGTGGGGGCTATCTCCTCTGGGGCGAGAGCAATATGAAATTCAATGCCACATTTGCTGAATCAACTGGAAAAAGTACAGAAATGTTTGCTGCAAAAATAAAGGTACATTCATTTAAGAGCGAAAATATAATGCTCTTTTCCATAAAAGAAATGTCTGAAAAGCTCCAATAAAATAATTATTTAGTGGTGTAAAATTCTAGAAACACTTCAATAAATTTATCGATAAATGATCGATAAAAGCGATTTTTTTTTTTAGTTATTTCGCTAAAAAAATTAAAAACTAATCCACATTTTTTAAATTCTGGGATATATAATTTCTATAACAAAATTGACCGATAAAACATCGATTAAAAAATATGTTTTGATAGGTATTTCAATAAAACTAAAGTAAACCAATTATACATGAAATAAAACCAATAAATGCAACGATCGAATGGGATATTCTTTCCATATCGATAGATAAATCTAAGTGTTTTCTTCGGGACATGTTTTTCCTTTTCTATCGTTACAAAACCATCCTCAAAACTCCCTATACCCTCTCCTAACATAGCTTAGATTTTAAAGGATAAATGCTGCAGTGCACCATAAAGTTCTATGCTTGCTTCTGGCTGCAACATCAGCAGCTGCTGGTGCTGCTGCTGCAAGTACTGCATGGGCTGGCTGCAGTGCTGCTGTCTTTTGGGATCAGCGCCTGCATTTAAA